CCCAGCCAGGCACGGCATTCCTGCGCATGGTAAGTTCAGGACAAGGCTATGGCAAGAGAGGAACAGGCTGTCCTGGTCCCCGAAGGTCGGGCCCGGATCCTGGAGCAAATCTATGAATGTTCACGCACAGGCCTTCGGGCATGCGAAGGCCTGGCCCAAGTGGCATAGGCACGCCCCGTCCTGTTGTAGACGAGATTATTCAGAATATATAATCCCTCCACTGCTGAACCAATTGTCAATCCTGCCCGCGGAGGCGCTGCGGGCTCTGCTGGCCGCGAGGAGCCGGGAACTCCTCTCAGCACTTGCATGTATCTGTCCCACATCAATCAATGTAGACAGCAGTCAAAGCCAATCCTCCTGGTGGAGGGCCTTCGGGCTCTGCAGGTCGCGAAGAGGCGAGCCCTCCTCATGATGCTTGATTCTCGGACTATAATAAATCAACATGCGCAGCAGATGTCCGTCCTGCAAAGGCGTTTGCATTTGCTCCTCAAGGACAAATCAGAATCGTTTTCAATGTCTATCTAGATTCATGATAGGTTGGTGTCCTGGAGCAGCTGCCGGATCATCCCCATGAAGCGGTCTTCCTGAAGGATCAAGATCTTAGCTGTTCACTTTTGCGCAAGGGTTGAATTGATTGCATGTCCTGTGGAGGGAACCTGCCCTTCGTCAGCACCACGGTCATGACGCAGCCCAACACCTGACACATGCAATATTGAATAGATGGGATTTTGCGGCAAGTCAAGACGGTGTCCTTCAGCAGCAGCATGTCTCACGTGGCCAGCTCCTCCCGTATTTGCTACCCTCTATCGCTATCCAATGAGTTTGGCTGGTATGGTCTTCAGCTCCACCTGCACGTGGAGCTGGCGTCTCTGGAGCTCGTTCTCCTGCAATGCTATTTAAATGTTTGACTGAAACATCCGCTGAGGGAATTTGGTATGGCCTGAAGCTCCAACAGCAAAACTCGGAGGCGGCGTCTCCGGAGTTTCTCCTGATGCAAATAGTATTTATGATTTACCTGAGACATCCACTGACGCAAATTGGTATGGCCTTCAGCTCCAGCACTGGGAATCCGCCCACCAGGAGTCCGCCCACCAGGACCTCCTCATGCAACCACTGTTGATATTTTGAGTCTGGGCTTCAATATAAAATCCGACCGACTGGGGTCCTGCTCCATACTTGCAGCTCGGCGCCATCTGGCCACGACCACGTCCACGACCACGCCCAGAGTCAGACATGTCGAAAGATCTACGAGCCAATTAAATTTGTCCTGTGTCTATTAGTCTATGTTGTATACGAAGAATTGACCGGACTGAATGGTTTAATTTAAGGTTCAGGAAGGGCTGCCCCAGCCTAGAAATAAACATTACTGCTGATAAATGCCTCAACACCTTATCGTCAATCTGAGCTTCGAAATCCCGGAACCTCGAATTTAAGGTTGGATGGAGAAATAAAGGAGGCTTCCACATGATTCTGTCAGCATGCCATGCTTAGTAGACTTGATCACTGACTAATGGCAGCAATGCGGCGCGCAGCGAATGCTTCAAGAGCATGCGGCGAGCAACCCACGACAAGCGAGCTATTGCAAGGTCATTCAGGCTGCGACATCGAAGAACTCGATGATGTGGATGGCGATTCGGGTGCAACCTGAGTCATCTGCTGCGAGGTACCCTTTCTCACGCAACAGGTTGATGCAGTCCAACCCTAGAATGCTGCAGCTCCGGGGTGTCGACCATTCGGCAGGACCTCAGGTTTTTGTTCAAGGATTTAAGATTTCGGGTTCAGGGCACATGTAATATCATCACAAAGTGCTCCTCAGACTGACTGAGAGCCAAGCCAAACCATGACATGTGGGAGCGAACCAGCGAATCACCTTCAAAGACAACGAATAAAACATAACCAAGAACTAAACATGCTGGCTTACGAATCGAAGGCCTGGTCTCTTTACGAGACCAAGCTTGCATCTTTGCGATGCAAGGGCCTTCAAGCCTTCTACGACGGATTCCCACCGAGTGCACACAAGGCTAAGCTATCCAAGGACCTGGCATTTTTACAATGCCAAACCGGTTCCTTTACGGAACCGGGGCCCTTGGACAGCCTCGTCAAGGACCTGGCACCGGCACCTTCACGATGCCAAACCAGCGTCTCCACGACACTGGGGCCCGTGACACGCCCTCTCTCTCTCTCTCTCTCTCTCTCTCTCTCTCTCTCTCAGCTCGCCCTAACTCACAAGGACCAGGGCATCTTCGCGATGCCCAACAGGTGTATCTTCTACACCTGGGCCCTCGCAAGATTCTGCTAGTTACTTAGCCCCCCAACCCCAACAACAGTCGGTCCGGCCTGTGTGAAGCTTGGCCACGACGAGGGCAATGATGATAAGGTTCATGGCTTGGGGCTTAAATTAAACAGGCTTAACGTTGAGGTTTAGGATTTTTTTGCATTACAGGCTTCAGGATTTAGTAGGCAGTGGCAGGGATAGCAAACATGTCCTAGCTTGAGCTCATGGCTGACGAATCAAGTACAAAAACCAACTCTGTTTTGTTACTTTCACAACCACTCAAAATGTATCTTTTGATCAACCCTGTGTAATGGTAGGAGTGATGTTGCAACTTCTGGCTTTCATTCCCTCCAGTCGTCTAAATCGCTTGGTACGGCCTGGGTTATGGCGCTTTGTGATCCGGTTTCGCTGTATCTATTCGCTGTCGAGCTATGTCAAGGCTCCATCCACTGCAAAGCCGGCTTCGTAAGATGCTCATTCGCGCAGGAGTGGAAGTTTTCTAGCTAACTATTTACTCAAGTGGGTGGGGTCAAAAAGCTACCTGTAGCTCTGTTCGGCCTGGCTTCGGCTGGTCTTGGCAGTCGTGGCGACGGGGTGGCCAGCCGTCTCCCCACAAGCGCTTACGTCCACTTAACAAAACAGAGAAGCAATGACCAATGAATCCAGTCGGAGCAGGTGATGCTTGAGCCACCATTGGCTGAGTTCCTGACAGCAACCAGGTGGATCGGCCGGATGATGGGCGCAAGCCCAAGCGAAGCTGCAGATGTGGAGAATGGCAACATCCAGAGCCTGCTGGCTCTCAGTCCCAGCAGGAAGATCTGCCTTGAACCTACTTCGCTTTCTCGTGTAAGCAGCGAACGTGGAATCCAAAAAGATGGATGCAGCATGACACGGTCCAACAGCCAAGAAGCGCGGAGAGCTGCATCAATGGCGTAATTACCTTCAGCAAATCTTTTTACAAAAAGGTGGCAGAGGATTATGAAGCGCGAGGAAGCAGCGAGAAGAAGCAGCGAACGGCGTGAAACTATGAGCGTCGGGGGTGTAGAGGCATTTGTAAGTAATCACAGCATGTAGCACAAGTCGGCAAGAGAAGAAACGGCACGGAAAATCCAAGGGCGCCACCGTGCTTGATGCAGAAGTGAAAGCACAAAGCGTGCAGAGATACCTGGCAGAGCGCAAAATTCCCACACCAACACACACAGACGGATAGACACAAGTGAGATGTATGGACGATATGCATGGGTACAAAGACCCACGCAAGCACATCTACTCAGGTGGCCCTATGCATGTGCATGCGCGCAAATGCGAACAACCATCTCCACATGCATATGACAGGACGCACAGGACTAGAATGCATAACGACATCGATATCTATGCATGCCTCAAAGAAAAGCAAATTGAAGCGCAGTGCGGCTTTACCACCATTGCCAGCTGAGGTCACGCGGTGAAATGAAAAAAACCTCCCACACCAGCCAGAGCCAGTCTGGTCGAGCCCAAGGTTATGGGGACCTTGACACAGGCAAGGACGGCTTGCATGGCTCCCAGCGCTTTCGCATAGCGCCACGCTTACAGGAATCCCGTGGAGGCCAGGCTCCCGGGCGGCATGCAGCATGCAGGCAACCAGAGCCGTGACCAGAGCCACGCAGCCGCTGACCTCGTCGCGTCGTCGCATGGAATCTCATGCGTGCACCCTTGACGAAGAACGCACCCTTTGCTGAATTTTCTTGATTGACGACATCCTGCACGGGCCTCGAATCTGGCTGACACTTTTCTTGCACTTTGCCCCTTCAACGAGCCCTCCACTTTATGAGTCTTGCAACCCCTTTCCAAATACAAATCGCATGAATGCACCTGCGATAAGGTGTGGATGGTCCGGGGCCGACCCGTCAGAAGGGAGGATCGGTGAAGGACTTAAGGATTGCGATATATTGCGGGTAACGGGACGGCAGGAAAACGAGATGCACTAACTCGTGCATGCCTGGCATGCCAAAGCCTGCTCAAGCACCGGTTGGCGAAGTTAGGGGATGCTTGGTGACCTACCTTCAATGAAGCACAGACTGCTCGCCCATGCTTTTATATAGTCCCTGCATGACTTAGCCAAGATGCCAAGGCATTCTGCTCTGGTGTCAAGCGGTCCAATTCCTGTTGCGTGCAATGTGTCTCGACATGACAACATTAGACTATTACACCTTTCCTTCGAGGCTATCGCGGACCACTTTGCAGATGTGCGCTTTTCTCGGTGGCTTTTGCGTTGGCAAAGACCCACTCGCCTCGGGCTTCCCATCGCCATCCAAGGACCAGTCCAAAGCCGGCACCTGGGAGAAACACAAATCGGTAGCCAGGTCGCTTTGGATCCGAACCCTGCCTCAGAGACGGAGGACATCGAATGATGCACCCCCAGACAACAGATGGACGGATTGCAGAATCAACAGACGCGGCAGTCGAAACACACTCGCGAGACACAGAAGCGACAGCAGTGGCCTCTGGCATCAACTGCGTACCTCAGTTGGTGACCGCCCAGGTAAGGCCATGCTTTCAGCCCCTACTGGGACAAGAAATAGCCAAACGACAAGGTCGCAAGCGGGGCGATGTGATTCTGCGTAAGGTGACCTGCAAGCAACTTCATCAGACTTGACGCCTTGGTGACGATGCAGAGAACAGAAAGGCGAGCGTCTGTGGACCAAGGCGCCGAGTACAAAGACTTTCTACAATGCGTCCAAGGTTACACCAGAGACTTTCTGACACTTGAGGCCAGGATGAACTGCAGACTGCAGGATGCATTTGAATTAACACTGAGTGGCGCCTTGTGGCGCCCCAGCTTTTGCCAGCTAGGGCTGTCTGCACAGTGTACCAACCGGACGTTGGCATGAGCCACCGAAAGCTCTCTGTGCAGCCCCTGTGCTGCCGACAACGAAAACATGAAGCCAATGCCATGCCAGCTTGTGCAGAAGCACTCAAATTCGATGTGTTCAGCTGCTTCGCTGAAAGTGTACGGAGTTGGACGCGCTCCGTTGATCCAGGGCGTGCACAACTTGAAAGTGAGGGCTACTAGGGTTTGTCGAGAGCAGCCCGCATCATCTTTTGACGCCGCTTCTTCTCACTTCTGTCACATAAGTGGCAGAACATGCACATGGCACCGTTTCTGCAGCCCCGAGTCGAGTAGAGGAACGAGCAGGGCTTGCAATCGCCGGTGTAGTGTCCACTGGATCCGATGCTGGGAAGTTCCGAGGTTCCTGGGGCCGGTTCAAGCGGAGCCGCTATTGGAGGCTCTAGCTGCCGGCCCTGCATCGGGCAATGCCAGCCCGCCTGAATGTCTGCAGCCGGCTCAGCTGTCCACTCACCCGTGTCGTCACAAAGAGCATCCTCCAAGCATATGACGGGCTTGCCCTCAGCAGGTTTCACATCGTCCTGCCAGTCCTTCATTGTCCGTTGGATCAGTCCGACATGGGCGGCAGGACACGACAATGCTGCTCGGTATGCACATTCGGGAGCGGCTGGGCTCGCGATGTGTATGAATGTATTCCGGATTTGCACAGCCTCAGGTGGATAGTGCATGTCCGAGCTGTCTTCCACGCCGCCCGAGTCCTCAGGAATCGATATGGTCAATCGGGTAGGCGTAGACTGCCTGCCGATGCTAGGGCGAGCCAAAACGTTGAGGGCTGTCGACATGGCTTGTGAATGAACCGCTTGTTCCTGCTGTGAGACACTTCGAGCCGCTATACCTGCATGACAGTTCAATACTTGTTCAAAGTGATGACAGTGATGAAGTGACATCATGACATGATTGCATGACTATGCATGCGGTCACGACAAACCACAACTTTCTCGCGTACTCTCTTGGCAAGGTCAGGGAACAAATGGTGCTTTGCAGTTGAAACCCTTTCTGGGCAACCACTGGCACGTCAGGCCAGGAGGAGGCTACTTGCAGAGCATGCGCGATGAGTGAGTCGAGGTCTGCATTTCTGTACAGAGTCCCTGCCCTGGCATGAGCCTCTCAGAAAGCTCTCTGTGCAGCTTCTGAGAAAACAAAAGAGGAAGCCACAGCCGAGGTAATTAGCACGTGCACTTTCGACCCATCCGTCTGGGAAAACCGTTTTGGATGCACAGCTGCTGTCTTGTAGTCCCTAAGGGCCCCACCGAGTGTCCAGACCGGGCTTCACTAAGCTCTCTGACGATTGATGAGAGCAGCTCGTTTGATCTTTTGTCGTCGCTTCTTCTCACTTCTGTCACATAAATGGCAAAACATGCACACGGCACCATTCCTGCACCCCTGAGGAGCGTACAGAAAAGAACATGGCTTGCAGTCGCCAACGTAGTGGCCACTGGACCCGATGCTGGGCAGTTCCGATGATGCCGACAGGGATTTTGAGGGACGAAGAGCATCCTCCAAGCATATGACGGGCTTGCCACCAGCAGGTTTCACATCGTCCTGCCAGTCCTTCATTGTCTGCTGGATGAGTCCGACATGGGAGGCGGGACATGACAGTGCGGCTCGGCAGGTGCTTTCGGGAGCAGCTGGGCTGGCGATGTGTATGAACGTGTTCCGGATCTGAACAGCCTCAGGTGGATAGTGCATCTCCGAGCTGTCTTCAACGCCGCCCGTCCCTTCAGGAATCGATATGGTCAAGTGCGCAGACTGCTTTCCGAAACCGGGGCGAGCGAAGAAATTGAGGCTTGTCGACATGGCTGCTGAATGCGCCCCTGATTCTTGACCCACTTCCTGCTGTGATACGGCCACGCACACCACAACTCTGCCAAGCATAGTAGCAAGAGAAGGCCATGTGTATAGACACCTGTCTCAGTCGTTTATCACTCTGTCCAGCGTCGGGGAAACAGCAGGGGCTTTGCAGCTGCAACCCTTTCCCGGAGAATCACTGGCGCTTCGGGCCAGAATGAAGACTACTGCAGAAAGCAGTGGCTGCAGCATTCACACTGAATTAAGGCTGTAGAGTGCCTTCCGATTCTGGCACCTCACGCAGGCCTGCTGGATGTCTGTACAACGTGCCGGCGAATCAGCCTCCGAAAGCTCTGTGCATCCTCACTGATGCCAGAAAGAATTTAAAAGGCGGGCGTGTCGGCGCCGGCAGTGCCGTAGGCCACAAAACACACCGGCATGGTCGCCTGCAGCATCGCTTAATTCGCTCCGAGCCCACTGAGGAGTCAGGAGCATATGAATTGAGAACGTGCAGACCGCAGGCTTCAGGCGGTGTGGCCCTTGTTGAGAGCAGCCCTCATCAGTTTTTGCCTCCGCTTCTTCTCACTTTTGTCACACAAGTGACAGAAAATGCACGCCGCACCATTTCTGCAGCCCTGAGCAGCATAGAGGAAAGAACAAGGCTTGCAGTCGCCAGTGTAGTGTCCGCTGGACCCGATGCTGGGAAGTTCCGGTGTTCCCGGCACCAGTTCGAAAGGAGCTGCAAGTTCCGCTGGTGCTTCTAGCTGCCAGTCTTGTAGGGGACATTGCCAGCCCGTCGGAATGTCGACGACAGCCTCAACTGCCCACTCGTTTGCGCTAACACAAAGAGCATCCTCCAAGCATATGACGGGCTTGCCACCAGCAGGTTTCACATCGTCCTGCCAATCCTGCATTGTCCGCTGGATCAGTCCGACATGGGAGGCGGGACATGACAGTGCGGCTCGGCAGGTGCTTTCGGGAGCAGCTGGGCTCGCGATATGTATGAACGTGTTCCGGATCTGAACAGCCTCGGGTGGATAGTGCATCTCCAAGCTGTCTTCCAAGCCGCCCGTCCCTTCAGGAATCGATATGGTCAAGTGCGCAGACTGCTTTCCGAAACCGGGGCGAGCGAAGAAATTGAGGCTTGTCGACATGGCGGGTTGGTCCAAACACTGCCTACGTCCGTCTGTGATTCTCTTCGAGCCTGCCTCCTGTGACGCTGATGCTTCGGCTGTGCACTGGAGCTGGAAATCTTTAGACATGTCCCCGTTGACCACGGGCTGTGCTACTGCAGCTCCTGGCCTTGCCCTCCCGGCTATCCGTCTCCACTGCCTCACCTGCGACAGAGTTCTCTAAAGGCCGTTTTGGTGAACGGGCAGCACAGGATATGCCCTCTCGGTCCATACTCAAACACAGTGATACATTCCGTGTGGTGTCCCGCCCAACCCGACGGGCCTAGTGCATCAGGCCGACGACGCTGGCGCAGTGACGTCGGCTCTGGAGAGGGGCCTGGCTTGGCCTCGGCGGTGATTCGGGCAGTGCAGGTCGTGACCTCGAAGTGGTTACTGAGGCCTTGTTGAGACAAGTCGCCATGGTGCCCACATCTTCACTTTCCGTTGTGTCACCCGCTGCATCGGCTGCAGGTGGACGAATGCAAGCGTCCTGAGCACCCCAACGAACAAGGGAGAGTATCACCTTTCTCGCGCTTCAACTTTTCCAATCCACCTCCAGTCGGAGAATCTCAGCGCCTCCCTACAGACATCTAACTGCTGGAGTGAGCCACGCAGATGACGTCGCTCAACGCCCAGCAGCAGGTGGCCTCGACGAGGTTAGAAGAGAGAAGCTAAAGGCGGTGGCCGCGGGCCGAAGATCCCTGGCTCTCGCCGACACTAGACCAGTTTCGTTCCGGATTGAGCTACTAGTAATCCCTACCACCTAATATTAAACGGGGGCCCCTCCCCCAATAGATACTCGGAAAGTTCTTTTATTATCAGGGAGTATTTTTATCTCTAATCTCAGATTTGGGTACAATTACGGCCGCTCCGCACAGGCAGGCTCAGCGAAGGCACGTGAAACCTGAGTTAGTTCTTTGAGACAGACAGGCAGTCAGGCCTGCAGATTTAGGAAAGTATGAGGCAGGCTGAGAGAAGACCGGCAGCTGGCAACCAGGGGGGCTCACCCTCAACCCTGAACCTTTGCCCGGGTGTTAAAGGGCAGGGGTGATTTCGGGAGGATTGGGTCCGGGGGGGTGTTTAATAAAAGGGGAAGCGATTACTTGGCTTCAATAGGTCTTTGTTGGGCAGAGGCTTTGAGGATCACCCTTTGCATATTGAAACCAATAAATTGCTTTCTCTGCCCCAGATGCTGCGACCGTCTGCCAGAGCCAAGCCAAGGACCGCTTTGGAGCCTCAAACGGCAAAAGATGCGCACGGGTGTTGTGCAGCAGAATCTGGTCTGTAGTCTGCTGACAATGACTGCAGCCGAGCATCGACAGCGCCATCTATGCCGACCAGCTCCGGAAACGATCCCAGAACGGCCTGCTTGCTCAAGGCAAGACGAAGGCAAAAAAGGTATGTTGGAGACCGTCGCGGAGGCCAGGTGAAGACCTGAGTCGGAAACCAGGCCTCCATGGTGATGTTGACTCCTGCAGTGGGTAGATCCACACCTCAGGTCTCACATGATCCTGCACTGTACAGACAGCGACTGACAGGAGGGCAGGCCGCAAGAGTTTTGTGCTTTGGCTGTTGCAGCTTTTTTGTTCTTGCAAGGCTGTGTTGCTCTGTGTTGTTGCTGCATCTGTGCGTCCGTGTCTGTGTCGGTGTCTGTGTGTGATTTGATGTGTATGTAGATGTTAAAACACACGTCCCGAGCAACCCTGTGCACCCAACATCAAGCCTGAAGCGCGAGGAGCCCTTAATCGCCAAAGACTGATTGCAGCTGCACGATCCCACGTGACCATGCTATCTGGAACCATGATGACGGCTTGAAGGACGAAGACTGCGGGGACGGGGGTGGTCTGTTTTTTGCTGTTGAGCCAATTGAACGTCCTCCCAACGCCGTCTTTCTGAGTCTCAGAATGAGTCTGAGTGAATCATATCACACATCGAATGAAGCTGTCGGATGTCTAGTTCAACTGTGTACTGCGCATGGCCTTCCCTCATTCCGAAGGATGTAGGCGGCATTGGTGCTCAAAAAAGCAGCGGCAGAGGAGGGCTCTGCGCAACGAAGATCTCTATGGTGACCTATACTGGAACTGATCATCCGAGCGTATCTGCATTTGCAATGGCAACCAGGCTAAGCCAAAAACCTGGCAAGCCGATAAGTTGCGATGTAACAAACTAGCACAAACAGCATCCATCTAAGTAAGGATGACCAGTCTGCAAGTGTGTGTGTGTGTGTG